ATTGAAGCGAGGTGAGGTGAAATTGGGTTTAACGTCGTGCTTCAGAATATTTCGCTCATATGACGACGTGCATGCGTGTGTATGGGTATGTGCGGCTGCTTGTACTAGCCCAGACTTAAGCTGGTTTTATAGTGCTAGCCCACTGAGATACCATGCTGCAGTGAAGCATGAATACCCCACTCAGACACATTATACTGACTCCGAGCCGACCAGTCCTTGTTGTACCCATTAATGCCGAGCGCCAGGCAGGGACCAACAAGTACCATATTTTAACTTCTTTTGGTGGACGCTCTAACCACTACACCACGGAGGCGGTCCTATAACCATTGAGACACCAGTGAAACATGCTTTGTGTCCCATACAAAGGAATGGAGTAATTAATTTCATTATTGATATGTAATGATATGTTTTGATCAACTGGACGATGGAATTTTGAATTGAGCCAGAGATGCCAACCCTGAATCTAAGGAAAACAGAGTCATGACTGGCTGAAAGCCAGGCCTGAGCACCAAAGGTGCGAGTTGGGGGTGATCGCATGGTCGGTTCTGCAATTTTGTTTCACTTTCATACAGACTATTACATGCATTCGGAAAAACTCCGTGCAACTTCATCGTCAATAACACGCAATATACACAATCAACAGCCACAGGATCACATGCTAAGCTTCTGAATGCTTTTACCAGTGTGCACTCAAATAAATCACCGGTGACTTATGAAATTGTATACTGTAAAAATAAATTGAGATTTTTTTCTCAGAAATCGGAGAGCAGATTTTGTATTTGAAAATCAGAGTAACTTCGCCAAAATCAGAGTGGTTGGCATATCTGTTGAGCCCAGGGTTTAGGTGTGACGAGCAAATGCTCTAACCACAAGGCTACCCACGAGATGAAGTTATTATTGAGACTCCTCCATTTCCCCATACAACCTACATGCCTTTAATGGGTATTTCTTCACATAGAATGGATACAGTGTAATTCTTTTCCATCCTTCTAAAGATCCAACAATAACTATTACAGAATCTCTCTATCCAAGTAAACATAACACCCTCCCACCAATAGGCTCACTTCCATGATGTCAACTCAACATTCATGTCATTCAGTATTTATTGGGCAATAAAACCCTTACTGCAAGCTGCCAGTAACAATATGAACGTCCACCACAGGTGATATAAGTAGGCATGGCGAACAAACAAACAAACACGGCCATTGATTGATTTCTTGACGACAGCGAGACACACCAGACTGAGCTGTTGTGTTATCCGAGTTGAGTTTTACGTCGCATCAGCACTATTTCAGCCATATAGTGACTGCATTCATTCATACACATTTTAAGTACAGCTCAACAAAATAAAAAAAATTATTACAAAATTTAAGTACAGTTTAATGAGTTTTTTAAAACCTATTTATTCGTTACATTATTATTTACAAACAAAAAATGTAATAGCACCAGATTAAAAAAACAAGAAATCCGTCCTTCACGTTATATAGTTACAATTTATGATACGGATAATCTCCCTCAAGTAGATTACAATGAGATGCCGCTGACAAGGGAAGTTTTCCCATGAGGTTCCAGAGAAGTCTCAGAGGTCCAGTAATAGGTTGTCTACAAGGTCCAGTTATAGAGTGACATATTGAGATACTGGAATATAGGTCATGAACAATAGGAAACAACTGGAGTATACAGGAAATGGGTCAAGACTATCACAATCATCAGCTGCTATGTCTGACTTCAGTATGCAAGAAACGGGTCAAGTCTATCAAAATCATCAGCTGGTATGTCTGACTTCAGTATGCAAGAAACAGGTCAAGTCTATCAAAATCAGCTGGTATGTCTGACTTCAGTACCTGTATGTAAGAAACGGGTTAAGTCTATCAAAATCAGCTGGTATGTCCAACTTCAGTATGCAAGAAACGGATCATGCCTTGAAAGAAAGACATGTCTTAAGCTGCGTTTACATGACACCTATTTGCACCCGGGGGTATTTTACCCTCGGGGGACTAATTAACCCCCAGGGGCAAAGGGCAAAAGAACTTGAGTTTACATGGGTTTTAAGAGAGGGGTGGGTATTCATCATTCAGTGCACGCATGACTATTGAGAACACATTTGGCCGCTTCAAGGGGCGATGGAGACATTTCTCTAAACGCATTGATGTGGATGTGGAGTTTGTGCCAGAACTTACTGCAGCTTCAGTTGCCGTGTACAACATGTGTGAGAATGAGCACAAATTGTTTGACCCAGACTGGCTGCAGGACAGTTGCCGTGTACAACATGTGTGAGAATGAGCACGAGTGGTTCGACCCCGACTCGCTGCAGGACGTAGATGTTGCAGCAGGAGTGTGTGGACAACAAGTTCATCAAGATCCAGACACTGGATCAGCTCTTCGAGAAGCACTGACTGCACAGTTTGCCAATGATAGACAGTGAAACTTTTCTGATGAACATTTGAGACAGTGATTACTCTATCCTTGTTTATTCAATTAACAAATAATTTGTCTCAAAGTATTTCTTTATTTGAAGCTTTAAGTGAACAAGAGTTTTGTGAACCTGTCCATTACACTCTATAAAGATGCTGGAAAGCGACTTTTTCTTTGTTTTCCCTTCTGCTTTGTTGTTTTAGTTTCAATTATTGCCTCTTCTTTGTTTGTGGTTCAGCATATGATTTAAAATCCTTGTTTTCGGTTCCGGAGACATGTCCAAATCCTCACCCTCAAGCAGAAGTATGACATCCTCCATCTCCTCAGTAGCAGGATCACCACCATCATCCGCAGCAGCATCAGAGTTTTCTGCATCTGATACTGGTGCCTCTTTCTCAAGACTCATCTTTCCAGGGGAGGTGGTTGGCCTTATATCCAGTATTTCAGTCATTTCCTTCTAGAATTTACATGTTCTGTGTGATTGTCCACTTTTCCTCAATGCAATCGACATTGTCTGTACGATTTTTTGAGAATGTTCATCCTCTCCTTACACTGACATCTGGTTCTTTAATAACCCATGTCATATAAAGCATTGCTGATTTTTGTGTATACAGCATTGTCTGTTTTCGAGACACTATCCAGTTGGAATTGTGCTTTCAAGTCACCCCAAATAATGAGGAGGCACTTTGTGCTATAATCGCACCACAAATTACCCCGCGAGCACTTCTTCTTTGGTGGCATTGTCACTTCCTCAAAGTAGACAAGAGTGTTGGTAATGATGCAACCCATTACATAAGTGCTACAAATCGATTTCCAAGAAAAAAAGAGTCCATTATCCTCTTGACCTGGGGCAAATTTTGCCTCAATACCCCCAAGGGGGTAAATATTTACCGCCTGTATGTACCGTTTACATGACAAAATTTGCCCCTAAAGGCAAAGTTGCCCCTGGAGGTATTTTACACCCAGGGGCAAACAGTGAATGTAAACGCGGCTATTATATAATATTTATTTTTGTAAAAGGAAAACAGAAATCCTTTTTCACTTGTCCTGAACAAGTCATCCATATTTTATATTCATCTAGTTGGGGTGGTTGGGTAGCCTAGTGGTTAAAGCGTTCCCTCATCACGCTGAAAACCCGGGTCGATTCCCCACATGGGTACAATGCGTGAAGCCCTTTTCTGGTGTCTCCCGCCATGATATTGCTGGAATATTGCTAAAAGCGGCATAAAACCAAACTCACTCACTATATTCATACAGGCTGCAGCATTCAGTGTAAGGCAAACTTTGAACAATCACTTCAGCTAAAACTATAAGATAATCAGTATGAAATCTCTGTTATCGTGGTTAAGTGAATAGCTGTCCTATCAGACATCGAACGTGACTGACAGCTTCAGGTCATGTGACTAAATGTTGCATAAATCAAGAGGTCATGTGATGTTCATATACTGTTCGTAATGTTGTTTGAGGTCATGTGACATTCCTTACTTTTGTGTTGATTGTTTCAGGTCCTGTGACCTGCATATGCGTTTTGTAAGTGTTGCTTAAGGTCATGTGACCTCCATCTCTGGTTTGTATATTTGTTTGAGGTCATGTGACCTTTATGTGTTTTGTGTTTATTGTTTTAGATCATGAGAACTTCCTGTGCTTTATTTTACAAGTAATGTTATTTAAACAAAAAACAAAAAAACAACAGACTGAGTGAGGTCATGTGACTTCAGAGGCCCAGATAAGCTGCGTATCCAGGTAAAATACGCATATAAAATTTCCAATTACGCATTGAAAAATAATTCTTGCGTACCAATTACACATTTAAAATGTTAGATACGCAAAAAGTTTAAAACAAATGCGTACGGAATATATTTATAAAAATCGCTTGCGTTATGAAAAAGACATCGTTTGCTATCAAGTTGTACTGTTAGTATAGGACAAGTGTTGTACTGTCAGTATAGGACGAGTGATTTTTTATGAAATCATTTCCATTATATTTAAGTTGGTTTTGATTGATACATAATACTTAGGTGAGTAAAATGACTGAAATACGCACATATTTGAAAGCAGTGGGTAACGGAAAATGAAATACCCACTCAACATTCATAATACCCACTCCAAAAAAATACAGTGGGTACAGTACCCAAATGAGCTAAATCTTATCTGGAGCTCTGTGACTTACATGTGCCTATTTCACTGCTCACGTGCTATGAGCGCAGCCCAGCTGTTGAAACCCGTTTTCCCCAGAAAAGTCGGGGGAAAATTAGGGAATCGTTTGAACTCCGATTTCGCGCAGGTTTTTTCATCGCGTTATTTTTCAACTTTATAAGTTGAATTTGCATTTTTGATGATTTGTTTCGGTAAGCCCATACCGAAAGGTATCAGAATCTGCAAAGTTGTGTTTTACGTTGCATGTGACTTTTAAGGTCATGTGACCTCCATCTCTGTTTTGTATATTTGTTTGAGGTCATGTGACCTTTATGTGTTTTGTGTTTATTGTTTTAGATCATGAGAACTTCCAGTGCTTTTTTTTACAAGTGATGTTATTTAAACAAAAACCAAAAAAACAACAGACTGAGTGAGGTCATGTGACTTACATGTGCCTTGTGGATTGGCTGGAAGTTTCTTTCGGATCATGAGAAGGATGACGAACAACACTAAAGGAATGAACAGCTCGAACAGCAGCACAAACTGAAACAGCAAGAATAATATTCAGAATCACCATTTACAAACAGCAACATCATCTGGGCTAAAACAAAATGGTTGTTAATGAAAAGGTTGTTCCTCACTGCAGACAGTAATAGTCAACATGATCGCAATGCCCAGTAAACAAAATGGGTTTGAGATGATGTAAGTAGAGCTGGACCGGTTCCAAATTTTCTACCCAGGTACCCCACCCCTATTAACCTACCCTACCCGGATACCCCTTATGTTAATTCCTGACATCAAATTTGCTAGAAATGGCAATATATTCTTCAGCTCGGAGGGTAAAATTTTGAGTTTTTCAATATCTTAACAATGTATTATATTCAAATGAAGTAACTGTAAATTATGTCTAAATCTTCAAAGACAATACAATGTTTCAATCATGAAAGAATTGTTTAATCTGTTAGTCACATGATCATAACGGGTCCGGGGTACTGAGTAGAAGTGTGACGATATGGAAATGTCACGATACGATACGTATCGCGATATCTTGGAACGATATGATTCGATGCATGTCACGATATGCTATCTTTAGTTATTTTCTTTAAAAAAGTATATTTTGATAGCAAGTAACAGCATAAATTTTTACATAACAGTCAATTTCTAGTGAACATTAACAATTTTAAGGTCAACGATTCATATCACGATAAGAACACAAGTATCAATATATTTATCGTCAGATAAAGTATCACGATTATTGATACTTCAATATATCGTCACTGCTCTAGTATTGAGACGGGTACCCGGGTCCAACTCATTACCCTACCGTCCCGGGGTATCCGGGTTACCCGTCCCAGCCCTAGACATAAGCCAGTGTTTTACCAACAACACTCCACCCCATACTATCCACAATGTCATACAACCCGTGAAGATCTGGGTTGGAATCGGTCTTCAGCAACCCATGCTTGTCATAAGAGAATAAATGGGATTGGATGGTTTGGCTCAATGATTAGGTTGACAAATGTATTCGTATACCAATTGAACAGAACGGTGCTCATGATGTTGATCACTGGATTGTCTGTTCTTGACTCGATTATTTACAGACCGCCACCATATAGCTGGAATAATGTTGGGTGCTGCGTTCCACAACAAACCAAACAAAAAATAAAACATGTTTGAAGCTGCGGAGTTAACAACAAATATGGGTTTTGTAAGACGTAACACGGATCTTTACAGGTTGGTTGATAGTATGAACAAAGGTCGCAGATGACATACAGTCAGTGTGGTCGTACATGATTGCCATTTTAATGGATTTGCTTTCATCCAAATCATATAAGGGTTAAGTTGGTTGTCGAAAACATGGTCCTATCTTATTGTGGTCACATATCATTCATCTGTATGGTGAGTGAGTGAGTTTGTTAGTTTCATGCCGCTTTTAGCTAGTATATTCCAGCAACATCACAGCGGGGTACACCAGACTTGTACCCATGTGGAATCGAACCCGGGTCTTCGGCGTAACGAGCGAACACTTTAATCACTAGGATACCCAACCACCCCATTGATTGAGTGAGTGAGTTTAGTTTTATGCTGCTTTTAGCAATATTCCACCAATATCAAAGCAGGGGACACTGGCTTCCTACATTGTACGCATGTGGAGAATCGAACCTAGGCCGTCAGCATGACAAGCGAATGCTTTAACTGCTTGACTACACCACTGCCCTGATCTAGGACCAGCCCCTGTACTGACTGACTGAGTTTGGTTTTACGCCGCTTTTAGCAATATTCCAGCAACATCACGGCGGGGAACACCAGAAATGGGCTTCACACATTGTGCCCATGTGGGGATTCGAACCCGGGTCTTCGGCGTGACGAGCCAACGCTTTAACCATTAGGCTACCCCACCGCCCCCAGCCCCTGTAAATTGCTCACCGAAACTCGTCTTTAATTCAAGCCAATCCATTACTATTTTCCATCAAACACAGGTGAGTATGAAAACAACATTCACACAACCATGACACCATGTATAACCACTGTAAATGATTTTCACAAAATTCAATTCCATGTAACAACGTGGCCTCCCACCACAGAGATCTAGTTCACTATAAATAATGGCCACATCATCGCCATTTCTGTCTCCATGCAAAATTTGATGACTCACAAGCTCAATATAACTATCCCATCAATCTTCAATCTTTCACGTCTCCATGGCAACCTTTACAAGGAGACAGTAGAGCCAGGCAAGATTTTGGTGCAAGTTTGGGGTGCAAACATTTCAATTTCAGAAGTGCGACATTGGAAAATCTCACCAACACCTCTATAGAACTCCTTGTCGAATCAATAATAAATACTGCTCGTTGAGAAAGTTGAAAACTTGGATTAGATTTCCAAAAGTGGAAGCAAGACTGAGGCTTTGGGTAACAAATATAATTATCATGATTATAGGTAAAATGATCACATGAAAAATTCCTGACGATATAATTGCTAATTCTATAGTCTTTTTACGTGTGTCAGATAACATAAAATTTCATTCAAAATGTTCAAGTGATTTATAACTTCATCTGTTTGCGTGATAACAAGATTAGGTCGTAAAAAAAAAAGAAGTTTTGTTCTGTTCAGTTTTGTTTAAGATTATCAATAATTCTTGCTTTCATCAGGTAGAAATCTGGTTTAAAAATTATTTTTTAATGTCAAGGTTATCTGGATTTGAAGAGCGGAGTTATCTCACAATCACAATTTGCTGTGTAGAATCACCTCCCTTAGGTGTCAGTGAGTTTGGTTTTCGGCACCCTCAGCAAATATATCAGCAATTATGACCGGGGACACTGGAAACGGGCTTCACACATTGTAACCATAAGCAGTAGAGGACATAACGTGTACGCCAGTTACGCATATAAGTAAACTACCTGAGAGGGGGTCACTGATTGCATGACTGCCTGATCACAGATAGCGATATACTACATGTCACACAAAAACGCATCCAAAAGCATTAATTTAAGGGTAATGCTATTTTTGAGGGCATTATCATTTGCAGAAGCCCGAGGTCTTGCATTAACTGCCCGACGAAGGAGGGCAGTTGAAAAAGACAGATGCCGTCAGAAATAGCATCACCGTTATTATTGCTAAAATACATGGAATTTGTGTGAAAAGAAAAAGGAAACAATGAAGGAACTTCTGACGGGGTTGACTGACTGAATGCAATTACGTCATCGAACAATTCACATGACGTCACAACAGAACGTGACGATATTCGACCTTGGCCTTTGACAAGACCATAGTCTGCAACATGTCAAACTATGTCAGACACAACAGTGTTCGGTTTTGGTCCAACAACAACGTTAATAGTGCAATTGTTAAGGTTAGCACCAGCAAAAAGGCAATAATTTGCCCGGGAGAATTTGAGAATCTGGCAGTCCGTGTTGAAAATAACCAATCACGGGCGGTTGGACAGGCAGGTATTTCGAAAGCTGTATACAGTGAATGTGATATGTGAATATTGTGTAACAAATACAAATATTGGGTAACAAAATATAAATACTTGGTAACGAACACAATAACCAGTCATATTATACTCAGTGAAACAGCAACAAGATAGATTCTCTGACACGCTTCGGCCATTTATCATGACAATTGTGTGACTACAGCGCTGTCAAATTGAACGAGTAAGCGTTGATCAAAGTTTTGGATACATTCCGTTTTATATATCTTGATTTGATAAAAAAAATCATACCCAAATTCAAGTAACAATACTCACAAAAATAATCACATACATTCGATTCCAGTGATTGCGAATATGACTGAATTCAGTTATATTTGATATGGTTGGATTCACAAAGTTTTCAAATACCCAAGTTAATAGTAACAGCCTAATTTTTTTAGTGTTCCAATTACGTGATATTTAAAATGAAATAGAAATTGAAATTGTTAAGAGGATGGTTGGGTAGCCTGGTGGTTAAAGCGTTCGCTTGTCACGCAGAAGACCCGGGTTCAATTCCCCACATGGGTACAATGTGTGAAGCCAATTTCTGGTGTCCCCCTCCGTGATATTGTTTCAACATTGTTAAAAACGGCTTAAAACCATACTGATGAATTCACTCAAATTGGCAAAGAAATTATTCAGCTCTGCAAAACGGGTTTTAAACTTGTGAAGAACATGCATTGTGATTCATCACTAGGGGTGAAACGGTACGCTCTTACCACAGTACCGTACGTATTACGGTACACGTACATATTGCGGTACAAGGCCTTCGGTTTCGGTACATCAGAACTTACTTCCGGGAAAATAGCAGCCATCCAGCAAAGAAATGCATAGATTTTGATAAAATTATTCGATTTCTAGACATTGTATAAAAAGTATAAAAAGGTTAATAAAATGACGGTACGGAAACCGAAAATACAGCTTTTTTTTTACTGCATTACAGTATGCCGAATCAAAGGCAAAATACCATGGTTCTCCTGATACCGCGGTATACCGTTTCACACTTATTCATCACCGTTGTAACTATTATTGCGCTTTCAGCACCACATTGACAGTAGTAAATTTTTAACGCCTTCAACACATTGTTTCTCCCTCCCACATACTATCATCTAATTGACAAAAATTCTCAAAGTGGCATCCAACCAGACCAATTTTTCCCCAATGCAGATGTGCCCTTTGCTGCTTAACAACTACAAAGAAAACCTAAAAATAATTCCATCATAGATAAAGAAAATTGGCCTCAGCCACAGGAGGAAGTGGACAAATAATTAGGAAACTTGTGATGAGATCACTGTAGGTTGTTGAAGAGATGGATAAGCTTGAAAAAGTCATCCTTGCTGCCGAATTTTATATATTAAGAAAACCCTAAGAGGGCCCCAGCTGCAAGGAAGACTTTGTAGATATGTTTTATTGTCAATTGCTTCTGTGATTAGGTTATTGGCTTCAAGGTGACCTGGCAAGAACCTCTAGAAACACCCTAAGAGGGCCCCAGCTGCAAGGAAGACTTTGTAGATATGTTTTATTGTTAATTGCTTCTGTGATTAGGTTATTGGCTTCAAGGTGACCTGGC